TCAAACACTAGAAATTATCTAATAGAAGCACTAAGAGTTTGTTTGGTTCAGTTGCATCTTATTAAAAGGTTGTTGCGCAGAAGCTGACTATCTGTTTGTTTTTAATAGTTTAGTAGTAGTTGTTTCTAAATAAATGATATTTCTGCTCCTATAGTATAGTGTTGTTTATAACATAACCAATCCTTCTAACATATTTCATACTTGAAAAAAAATATCAAATTTGAACATTACAAAATAAAGACAGACACCTCACTAAACAGTGAGTAACACGACAATTAAAATTTTAAAAAAAGACTATTAAAATAGCAATTAATAATATGATGATGTTGTTTTTAAAGTGCACTTGATTAATGTTGCAGGATAATCCATCCTCCAAGGAAATTCTTCACTTTTGTTCTCTGTCGGAGGAGGAATCCTCCAACCCATCCACTCATTTGTTTTTCAATTGCATCCTATTATATTCCCTACATGTACTTTCTTTGAACTTTTATATAATATTATAGTCCTCCTTTTTAAAATAGAATGTAGGCCTATTTCCCAATTCCACATCCTTAAGACAAAAGTTGCAAAATATTAGTTTGGCTTCTTTAACCCACATAGCAGATGAACCTATCTTTTTTCTCTTAACCATTATGCTACTAGCATGAAAAGAGTTAAACAACATAAATAGTTGTCATAAAAAAACAATTACCACAATTAAAAGAAAAGTAACATTATCATAGTGCTTAAATTGTCTTAACCTTTGACAATTACATACAGTGGCACACAACCTTATTGATCAAAACATTGCATTGAAATTTGGAATCCCAAAAGATCGCGGCAAGCGTAAATGCATTGAAACATTACAATCAACAAATCAAGCATCCTCATCCATCAAATTTTCATGGCAACCGAAATAATAGCATCAACAAATCAAGCACAATAGCTATTTCAACCATTTTAAAATTATAAATGCATCGAAACATTACAATCAACACATCAAGCACAATAGCTATTTCAACCATTTTAAAATTTTCCCTTAAAGAAAGTATAGCATGAAAACGTAAACCAACAACCAAACTTACATGTCAACTGAAACATTGCAATCAACAAATCAAGCACCCTCATTCATCAAATTTTCATGATAACCAAAACAATGTCATCAACAAATGAAACACCCTATTTCAACTCATGCATCAGAACATGTAATCCCAAAAGATATGATGAAAGCTCCTCCCAAACGTTCGTGGCAAGCATAAAACACGTTGCAATCAACAAATCAAGCACCCTCATTTATCAAATTTTCAAGGCAACCAAAACCGTGCCATCAACGAATCAAGCAACCCATTTCATCCATTTTTCAAATTTTCATTCAAAGAAAGCATAGCATAAAAATGTATACCAACAGACAAACATACTTGTCAACTGAAACATTGCAATCATCGAATCTCATTCATCTAATTTTCAACGCAATCGAAACTGTCCCATAAAAAACTCAAGCACTCCATTTCATCCATTTTTCAAATTTTCACTCAAAAAATCAATGGAGAAGAAGAATTAACAGATCCATCCCAAAATCGTAAATTCTACCATCCCAAATAACAAAATTCACATAATTCAAACCCTAAACTCAAATGACAAAGCATCAAATAGCCATGAGATAACCGCATTGCAAAATGAGTAAATGAGATGCATATAAAATAAATAGAAGAAGGCGCAAGAGGGCCGGAGAGGCATGACAGAGCCTAAACAGAGCCATGGGATAGGCACGAGAGAGGAAGGAGAAACAGGATCGAGAGAGCAACTAGGGCCGAAGAAACTCGAGAGAGCCACAGGCAGAAGCAACTTGAGAAAGGACGGAGCTGAGGGTTAAAATCGCGAAGAAACCACAACCCGCGAGGTCAAACCCGCAGCTAGCTTTTTCAATTGATTATTGTCATAAGCCACGCACCACATTATCTAAACAGATCCACCTGTGTTTTCAAATCACACCACCCTAAAAAAAGATGCTCCAAATAGGCCCTACAACTTTATAGCTTATTACAAAATGAGTTAAAACACCAGTGACATATTAAATCCTCTTTATGAGTCTCTTCGTGTCCATCTTCCTAGTGACATTAAAAGTTACAAAAGCAAAAGCTTCTTGATCACCCTATAATGAAGAAAACAATATCACCCAACCCTCTCATATGTGAAAGTCAAATATGATTTATTTTTCCCCTTAATTTTTGTTCCAATTTGTGGTAGACTGGACATTTATTGATAATCTAAGTCCAAGATTATTAATGAATGGAAGTCCTAATAATTATTTATTTTTCTTATTTGGAAATTCCCTCTTTATTAAGAAAATCTTCAGGTCAATAATTCAACAAATTCCTACATTCATTACAAGAAGATAAACTTTTAGCAACCTCATTACAATCACCGACGAGCTAATTTCTGATTCTTAATTGCTCAGACAATAAAATTATTGTGAGGATAGTAATTTTTTTGAAAGTTGATATAGATCTTATAAACACATACGTCTTAAAGTTGGGCAACAATGTCCTTGCACCCCTAGCCTTAATTGCTCTGACAATAAAATTATTGTGAGGATAATAATTTTTTTGAAAGTTGATATAGATCTTCTAAACACATACTTCTTAAAGTTGGGCAACAATGTCCTTGCACCCCTAGATCTTCAACGAAAGAAGTCGGTTCATAGAAAGCAAATGAATATAGGAATTCTTGGAATTCTCATCTTGGGCGAAGCAATGAGCGCTTGATCTTACATAGATTAGGAAAGAAAAGTTTCGTTACAGACCCTTTCAAAGGTCAAGAGGCATTGCTCCCTCCCTTCAATTTCTTGATATAGGTCAGTGTGCTTTTTGGATCGAATCAAAGTTTTCACTCAGGCATGTAGTGTTGTCGTTAATTGTTTCAGGAGGCAAGATTTGTACCAACTTCTCCACGGCTCGGTCCCAACCAAATCTTACTCGCGACTAACAACTAGCCACACTAGCTTGTGAAGTCTTTTAGCTCCCCTCTTCTCTTTAATAAGGGAATTGGCTGTCTTCATTCATTCCTATCTCATCCTTAGCTCAACCAGCGTAATCTCGAACAACCCCTTATTTCACAACGTATCTAGCGCCCTATGTTCGGACTTCAAAGAGATGATGAAATAGTAGTAGACTTCCCCGCATATTATTTATAATGTTGCAAATGTATTAATTTAAAGGGAGTGGGGAGCATAACTCCTTTCCTTTGCAAAATGGTTAATCTCTTTTCCTAAGAATATATTACCCTAGAGGATTTGTCCATCAAAACATTCTTAATCCAATACTAAATAGCAAAATCAATGGCTGCAAATAATGGCACAACTGAGCATGTGAGAGGTGAACATTTTTTCTGTACAAATAAATTAACGTGCATTTATGTAAATACCACACATTTTTAATTATATATTTACATAATTAACAACTAAAATTTTTTATTTACATACATAACACTCAAATCTTTAACGTCACATCAAACATATCACTCTTACTAATAAAATTAACATACTAGTTTAGTTATGTTAATTTTTAAAACATTTGAGTTTATTTTAAGATGAATGCATGCATTTGATAGCTAATCGATTAACAATTGTTTTTGTTGTGAGATGTGCGTAATCATGGGCGAGCGGAAACAAGTTGTTTTTCGCGCATTATTAGAGGGGTGGAACTAGTATTATTTTTCAGAGGATACAAAATAGACCTAGGAGTTGGGCATGCTGGGTATAACATTGGTTAGGTATTTTCAGGCTTTGATTAGTCAAAGTGAGCTCGAGTCGGGCTTTAACCCGAATTCTATGATTGTTCTTTCTCTCGTCCCATAAAATTTAATTTTCATATTAATATCAACCAAATCTTTTGTATCACATAAAAATTATCACTTTTAAAGTTTATTTAAAGATGAAATATAACTTTCATGCATATATAAAATTACAAATATATAAAAATTGAAGTCCAAGTGCTAGATATGATATTAACTAGAAATTAATGAGCAGTATGTATGTAATTTTTTTTTTTTTTTTTGTATTTTACTCAAAACTTTTTCTATATTTACATTTCTCAGCTTAAAATCTTACGTATTTCATGTGTATACATTTGCTATTAAATTAATTTAAACATATAATAAAAATTCGTACATATAAAACCAATTTAAAATTCTTGTCGCACATCATTTCTTGTTTCAAACGTTCATATTACATTTTTTTAATATTTTAAATTAACAACATGATTTAAGAGAAAATGTTAATCAATTTTCTTTTAAAATGCATGGGGTACCCGCAAGCCAGCCGACCAATTCAGTGGGCGGGCTATGTTATGAAATTATGAAAAGAATTCAGGCTCAAGCCCGACCCAAGCTCACTTTGACTAGTCAAAAGCCAAAAAAGTCTGACTCATGCCAAATCCGGGCTGTCAAACTCCGATGTCTATTTTATATCCTTTAAAAAATAATGTCGGCTCCGCCTCCGCTAATAATGTACGAATAATCAGCTAACTATCATTTTTCACTCATCTCAAATAAATTAAAAATCATTAAAAGGTATGATCACATTTTGATAAGAATATTTTCACTTTTGTTTAGTCTAACAAATCCTTTTGACTGTATTACCTTAGCTAACGGGCCTCCACTAGTTAAGATTCTTAACAATGTCCTATAACACCCCATAGTTGACCGGACTTATATTAATTAAGAGTAATTATTAGTGCTAACTAAAACCATATATAGTTTGTTGAGGAGATCTAAATGCCCAATTGCTCACAAGCAACAAAACAATCACTTTCTCACTGGTCCCATCTACACACTAGCAATTTAATCATAGGGAATCAAATCCACAAAAGCTAACATCAAATAATAAAAAGATAAAAAATAAAATAAAGACGCAAAAAAGAAGAAGAAGAAGTTATTACATACAGACACCGCACATACAAACAATGATGGCTACAAGTGAATTTATGATAACGTGTTCTTCTCATCCATCCACTGTTGTATAACTGTTTATACGTTCAAACGTCTGCACGTAATATTTTTTTAGAAAATAAAAGACACATCCCTTTCCCCCATGTAAATCCTAACAAAAGCATGTACTTTTTTTGACTATTTCTCCATAATTTGCAGACAATATATATGTTATTTGCACACAAAACATAAAAAGAATATTTAAAACTTCAAGTCATGGGATCAGTAGGGGGAGACTCTAATAATTGGTCTGCTTGCCAACTTTGTCTGGGTGCCACACTGTCATGAAGTGGTGCATAATTCTGCATCGATGTCAGCAAATAATATGATAAATATTAAATTAATTAATATATTAATAAATAACACTTTTCATTGTGAGAATTAGTCTAAGTATTTAAATAAATAATCCATGAAAAGTACATTTGCCATCCTAATTTTGCTCAGTAAAGTTTTTTCTCTTAATTGTTTTTTTATTTTTTTCTCCCTAAATTAAATTACCTCCATTTTTCTGATGAGCTCTTCTGCTGTCTCTGCTGAAACCACAATATGCCTTGCTGAGCTCTCTATGAAGCCTTCTTCAACTCCTTTGTCAAATAATGCTAAAAGGCTATTGTAGTAACCATCAACATTCAACAATCCCACCTGCCCAATATACAGAAATACATGTAAATATAAATGTATGATGTAAAAGAACTAAATCAAATGAAACATATTTATATATATGTATGAAGCCAGAGATTTGTTAAGAGAAACTACTAATCAGCACTCACAGGTTTTTCATGTATTCCTAGCTGTGACCATGCTATCATTTCTAATAACTCCTCCATTGTCCCATACCCACCTAAAATTTAACAAAATGTAACATAAATATATATTTTTTTATTAAAAAAACAATAAAAAAATGAAAAAAATTCCATTTTTTGCTCACCAGGAAGGGCTATGAATGCATCAGCATGTTTAGCCATTTCTGACTTTCTCTCATGCATGTCTGCAACTGTCATAACTTCACCAATAGTTTTTCCTAAAATCTGCAAAAATTCAGCCCTGCTTTGCTTTATATCTTTGTGGAAGAAAGCTTGTTTAAAAGTGCAGGAGTGCTTTACCTCATGAGGCAGTAGGGCTCTTGGTATAATTCTGCAAAAAAAAAAAAAATGAATTTTTTTCTCAGTTTAATGAATTAAGAAATGCATAGAATTAGAAAAAATTAAAAATGCTGAAAAATTATGACCCTAAGACATGACAGCCACCATTAAAGACTGTTTGAGAGATCAAACCCATGAGCCCTATACTCCCACCACCATAAATCAAATCAATCTTCCTGTCAACCTGAAATTGCAAAATGTCTTTTTTATGATATCAAATTGCAGAAATTGTGCAGATCATAAAGTAAACGAAGCTTTGGCGCTAGTTTATCTGTTTCTGACCAGCTGTTTTCCAAGCTCAAGAGCTGCGGCACTGAAAGATGGCTTTTTGCCCGCACTACTCCCACAAAAGACGCATATCCTTCCAAACCTTCTTATTTTCTTATCACTGACTTTTCTATGATGTTCTCCACTGATTTGTCCAAGTTCCTCGCGTATTTTCTCCATGATTCTGCAAGAGAAGCAGGCAGAGAGAGAGAGAGGAAGAAGAAGAAGAAGAAGAAGTGTAAGCTCTTCTTGATAATAGAAGAAAGCAGAATTTTTAATACTGAATCATCCTCCACTACTTTGAGCCCCAACACACCCTTTTGTCTGCTTAAACAACAAGGACATGGTGTTGGTGATTAGCCCAACAAGAATCCCTCTTCAATACTCCTTTTATTATCTTCAAGCCATCCCCCCCCCCCACTCTCTCTCTATCCCTCTCTCTCCCTCTCTCTCTCTCTCTTCACATGTTGATTCAAGTGTTTGACTCTCACTCATGAGCATGTTTTTCTGTTGAGAATGGATTTTATAGCTTATCACACATAGAATAGTGTGTTGTGTGTGTGTGTTAATGAACTCTATTTTTAATTTGAAATATTCAAAATAATTTAAATTCAAATTTTATTCTTTTTTGTTCATACTACTAAGAAAGGTGAGGAAATAAAACCAGCCAAAATCTTTACTTTTGTGCACATCCTTTTGTACTGATTTATTCACCATTATAATATGCTCTTATATGTGCATTTACATAAATTCCACCCAATTCATTTGTATTTACATATATAACCCCTAAACTTTGTTTTTGACATTAATACGACTCAAATCTTTCATATCAAATAAAAAAAAAAAAGTATTTTTTTTTTACTTTTTAAAAGTGAAATGCATATTTTCATTAAGGTGTATTTTTTTTAACTTTTTAAAAGTGAAATGCATATTTTCATTAAGGTGACATATAATTAAAAATTAAGGTTTAGGCATTAGATATGTAATTGCAGAAGAAATGAGTGGTAATTTTACATACATGCCACCCTCTTCCCATATATTTACATATCCAACACCTAAACTTTAAACTCAAATCTTTCATGTCACAATAGAAAATATCACTATTGTACTTTTAAGCATAAATAAAAAGATATATATGTAAAAATCTACAAATTAGATGTGTAAATTGCAATTAAATAAAAATTAAGCGCTCGGTCTTGCGCATTCGGATATATATGTTCCTCATTCAGTCCTCAGCTGACATTTACTGCCAATTATCACTGCACCACCATTATTTTTGCCAACCTTTTGTTGGAGCCCATGGTGCAGGCTTTATCTGTACCTACTCCCTGTATGCTTTTCAGAACTCTCAGCCAAAGCATTGCCCACATAGGAAATGGTACTTATTATCATTCAACTTGAATTATAGCTTCGTGTTGGGACCTTCCCAAACTTTACTGCTTTCTATCTGATTCTATTTATGTTGCTGTTTTTGGATTGCTCAACTATCTTCTTTTGGTTTTTTTTTTTTTTTTTTTTGCACGGGATAATAGTACTTATAAATCAGATTATCTGTAATTTGATCTTCTAATCACATTCGGATTTATCCTCATATATGACTACGATTTGATTCTTCTTCATAAATAATAGTTCTTATTTGTATCCGCACTTCATGTACAACATTGTTGTAGATGAAGTTCAGATGCACTCGAATTCCACATGTAATAATTTTAAGCTCCCAAGCTGTTAATATTTTAGGAATTTTATCGTACCTAGCACATAATTGATAATTCTTATGTATTTACATATCTCACACACCCTTTCGTATTTACATACATATGGCTTTGATGTTTTACTTATGTATTTACATATCTCACACACCTTAACTTTCGTATTTACATACATATGGCTTTGATGTTTTAAACCTATGCATGAAAAGATGTATTTCACTTTTAGAAAATGACAGCAGTGCTGATTTTTTATGTGATGTTAAATATTTGAGTATTTTGTGTGTAAATATGAATGTCCTGATGCAAGACATGTAAATACATAAGAATTTTGTGCTATGTATGTTAATGCCCTATTATCATGCTCAACAAAAAGAGAATATATATATAGAGAGAGAGAGAGAGAGAGAGAGAGAGAGAGAGAGACATGGAGGTTTGGTGAGTCATTTTGGTTTTGTTGGTTTCTTAGCCTCTGGTCTGAGGCCTCTGGGGTTTTCTTAGCCCTATTAATTAATGTTGTTTGTTTCTGCTTGTAGCCATATCCTGTCAATATATTTTCCATGAACTTTAGTCTAAAGTACCTAACTTTATTTCGAATGTTAAAATTAATTAAAGTTTCGTATTAGCAGCTCAGCTAAGCCATCCGTTAGAGGTATAAGCTAGTTTTCAATTTGTTGATTAAGGTAATTTAATTAACTGTTTTTAACTTGCTGCTTAATTAAGGCTTCAGTTGGAACAGTTCTATTAATGTTGTGCTGATGAGCTTTTGTTATGGTGAAATAAAACTACTACTTATCTCATATTTTTTCATTAGTTAATTCACATTTCATAAAATAGTTATACATCCAAAGTAAATGGGGTTGTGTGCTTGTATTAGTATATTTTGTATATAGCGAGAGTGATCTTATGACAATAAATATTGTTAGGTTAATAATGCTACTCAAATTAGTATAATTTTTTGTTTTAAATCGATCACTTTAGATTCAAAATTCAAATTCTAGCTGTGTAAGGCTTGCTCAAATGAAAGAGTTAGACCGTTTTGTCTGTTTTCTCAAGAAGCTGTGATGAAAAATCTAAATATATAACGTAAACCTGACTACGTGCGGTGGCTGTTAGAAGCTGTGATCTAAATATTTTGAAAATATAATCCATAATTCCTTGAAAAATAGTTTCATCTGTAACAACTTCACAACTAATTTTTCAAACAAATATGACTACCTCAAATAGATCCTGGATGACATCCTTCAAGGAATGATAATAGACAAAAGATTTAAATGATTTGGATATTTATTTTAAATCACAAAAAACATTCTAATTGATAAACAGATAAATTTGTGTTAGACAATTATTAAAACAAAGAGATAAAAAACATTTAAAATTATTAATGAAGAATACATTCAACGCTTCACTCTACACTCAACATAAATGAAATGAAAATAAGAATTCATGCAACCAACCTCAAATAGCTGAATACAGCTGATGCACATAATGATGATAATGATTGTGGTGATTATTACATGTATTGTGCTTATTCAAGTACTATCATTATGGTTAGTTTGCACATGAGAATCTTTATAATATAAATTTGATATGAGTGACCTACAACTTTAGCCTTATGGTTTTAGGTTAGTTAGCTAGCTGCATTTAATATGCTTCTTCTAATGTCAAGCACAACTAATACCAATAAAGAATAATGAACCAATGATGATTGAGCATCATCCATGATTTCACAAAAAACAATTAGAACAAATAAAATCACACACGCACACGCACGCACGCACACACACACACACACACACACAATTAGAACAAATAAAATCACACACGCACGCACACGCACGCACCCACACACACGCACACGCACGCACGCACGCACCCACACACACACACACACACACACACACACACACACACACACATATATATATATCTATCTATCTATCTATCTATCTATCTATCTGTGCGTGTATGCGTGCGCGGTGAGTGTGTGTGTGTGTCGCACACTCGGGCTTGTAGGTTGGCATGCACGGTATAAGACCTCTCAGGTCGGGGGTTCGACTCCCCTCTGGCACAGTTGACCTTAAGAAGATGATACTCGAATTGTAAGACACATCAGAGGTGACTGGAGGCTCATATACTTTAATCCATTTTTGTTTTGAAAAATTCTTTGAAATTAATAGCAAGATTATTTCTCTAAAGGATCTCCTCAAGTCCTTTCATCATGAAAAGATAAGTTTAAAATGTCCTCATTCTTTTGTCCATTGAGGCTATATGTGAAACTTTTCACAGGTCTTTCTCTGCCATTGAAATGTTGCATTTTTGCCTAAAATGGGTTAAAAAAATAGAAAACTTTAAGAATTGTTGGTGTCTAGTCACCCTTTTTTGAGAGGATATATGATGGAGGAGATGGTCTTGATTTTGGCCCCATGCAAATCAATGAGAGCAAACAAAGGATCTCCTCCAATTTTGTAGCACATGGGCTTCAAGTGAAAGTTATAAAGCGACTTTCTTTGCTATGTGATTTCATACAATAAAGGAAGGCTCATCATAATCTTTTTTAAGCACGGTTTTTCAAGTTAGATTGAACCGGCCGGTATGATCTGTTTAATTGTGAACCTTTCATTTGATTGGTTTTGTCCAAAAGTTATTTTTGCACAAAATAGGGATTGAACTGAGGTTAAAACGGGGAAACAGTCAGAATTTTAATGAATTGTCTTGTTCTAATATCCTTCGATTTTAGCCTTTTAACATTTTGTTCAGATAACTATAAATAATGTTTTGAATTAAAAATAGAGAAAATCTTATTTCATAAAATTTTGATGTAGAATAATATTCAAAATATTAAAATTTTTTGAATTTATTGGAATTGAACCGATAGAACTAATATTATTTTATTGTTATATATTACTATTTTAGTTTAATTAAAATGATTTTAATATTTATCATGTCATCCAATTGATCAACTTATGGTTCAACCTCGGCTGAACCATTAAATTTTAAATATATCCTTGGGATTTGATTTTTGGTATGAATTTCATAACCTCATTTTTTAAGAGGAGTTCTTTTACGTTCAAAAGAGATTATACGTGGCTAGAGTTCAAATGAGTTTTTTTTGAATTTATCAAAGTTACAAAGATGTCTATTTATTTTACATACATACACTTCTTGTGAGTTAAGTTTTAGGTTTTCTGAAATTGGCAATTTTTTTTCTTTTACTTGATGAATTTCATAATATAATGAATGTATTTTGTAAAAATTGAAGAGCATATTTCAAATTTGGCATGATTGTCAACAAATTTTAACCTTTTGTAAAGGTGGCAGTCGATAGATCTAATGCATTTCTAACCTTTAGAAATTCATAGAATTGCATCAAATTACATTGAGTTCAATGATATCTTCAAAGTTTGATAGTTTATGATTTATTATTTTGCAATGACCCATCATATGCTACGTGGAGAGTTACAAGCTATTGTACGAAAATTACTAATAGCAAATAAATTTAACAGAGGGCTCAATTCATTGCAAATTTAATGCAAGCGTTGGGTTACAATTCCATCACAAGTTAATTCCACAAGAAAAACCAAAAATTTTTAAAAAATCACATTTTTTGGGATGAACATGGAATAAACTAATGGTGGCATTATGAAAAGTTATGTGACAATGTACACACACACACACACACACACACACACACACACACACACACAATAAATCACATGCATCCTATTTAAAATTAATGCATGAACAATTCCAAATGCTTGCATCAAAACACA